GTTTATCTCTCCATCAGTTTATCACTCCATCAGTTTATCTCTCCATCAGTTTATCTCTCCATCAGTTTATCACTCCATCAGTTTATTTCTCCATCAGAATCTGGCTTTCAGTTAGTGATAAACCGTTAAACATCTGGAGGGAAACATCTGTTCTGCCACTTTACACATCTGGAATGAAGGGAAAGAAGAACAAAGACGGTTCTTCTCATTTACAGTTTGATACAAACAGAAAACTTATCGCTTAACGGTGTTGGCAGCATCATGCTGGGGGGGGGAATATGGATGTGGCTGAATGCAGGTTAGTATTAAAGGGAACCTGTTAGAAGCTGCATTCTGTTTCCCTGCAGAAGGAACACAAAAAGCATGAAGAGATTTTGAATATCAGTTCATGGCATGAGAGGAAACAAGAACTAAAGACTCTCCTGGTATGACCGCCACTCTGAGCTCTGCTGAACTGGAACATGGTTGTCATGGAAACCTCCAGACGCTGTTCTAAGTAAACCGTCCTCCAGAAGTTGATCTCTCCCTTGGAAAACGAGTGAATATGGAAGTGTGTGTTTCCTGTTTTTGGTATTTTTAGACTGAGACGTTTCCAGGCCTGACTTTAAATCCTCGCCTGCTGGGCAGCAATCATGGCAGCACGTGTAACACGCCACGTCTCTGTCAAAGCCGGAGCATCAGAGAGGGAGGACGCCAGGAGCCCAGGGTGCATGGCTCGCTCACAGTGACCCCCGTAATACCATTAGGATGACACATAATCCAGGATGCATTGATCTATGAGTCCAGCCTGTCCTGAAAGAGACGCAGGAGAGGAGAAACAGAGCCCATGATCACGCAAGCAGCCGACTGAGCTGACAGACGGCAAACGAGCCCCCTGCTATCACACATGCATGCAGACAAACCCTCATTTATGCACGGATAACAGCGAGGGGCTGCCGCAGCACCTGCCGGCCCTGGGGACCGGCCCCTGCGTTCTGCTGAGGGTCATTCTCTGGATCAATGTGTGCAGAGGTTAGCTGGGATTTCCTGGGTGGAGTCTGAGGCTCGTGTCAGGCGGCCTCTTAGGGGGCCTCCTGGATTATGTTGTGACTGCATGTGTGTGTTAGTAAGGGACGTTTTTCCTACTGAATGGGCCCCTGAATGGGCCCCTCAAGCTGCTGTCTTCATGCGTGCCAAACAGCTTTGAGTTTCTTTAAGTGGGCGTCTGCAGAAAACAAAACACGGGTTTGTCCAAACGGCGAGGTCGCTGCCCGCTCTCGCAATCACAGACGTCCTCTTTCTCTGCTCTGCTCCTCCTCCCCGCTTTCAATGCGTCACTCCATTTGTCAAGGGGCCAACCCCAGAGACCCCGGAGACCCCCGAGACCCCAGAGACAGATATCTGTTTCTCTAAACATTTATCTTTTATTTGACGCTTAGAGTTTGGATAAAGAAATGATCCAATAATGTTAGCCTCCCTGACCAGCTGTTTTAGTCTGGTTTAAATCCTAAAGTTGGAAATGACAACATTTGATGATGTCATCAATGACGTTAAGGAGATCTGCTACAGAAGGCCCCATCTTTCAGCCAGTTTTCCAGCAGTGCGCAGCAGTAGGGGGTAGAAGCGCAGCGCTACGGCTTTTTCCAACTCTTTTTTTTTTTAGACCTTAAAACTCTAGATCACTGTCAGGTAGTTGGATAAATGCAATAAAAAAGCCTTGAATCACTCCAGCATAGAGCCTTTTACAGCCTCAACAGTATATATAATATTGCTGACTTTACCTCCATCGACCCCCAGACATCAGCATCTAGACAAGAAGCTTCTGTATTTGGGCTTCCTGGCCTAAACATCAACTATTGAAGTCTGGAGGAAGAACGTTCCGTAAATGTAGGCCCAACAGGAGACTGTCCTTGTTGGACAATCCAATGATGGAAAGATAAAGTGACTGTAGTGGGAATTGATCCCTCTGGTCTAGAACACTATGAACTTCAGCTCTACCAACCCGGTCAGGCTTAAGTTCTGCTTTGTTACTTTCTTGGAAAATAATCTGATTGAACCAGTTCAGACTGGTTGTTTGCAGTCGCTATGGTCCAGTTAAAACCTATTCTGCCCCTTTATTCTGATCTGCTTTGTTGAAGGTTTTCCTGGTTCCTTCCTGATGAGCTCAGATCACTTTCTTTGATGACTATTACCCCATTTACCCTACCCTTGAAAAACCGGTCCGAGACCGGTCCGAGGTCAGTAACTGAGATAACTTATGGTGTGTAAATGGAAAGCAAACTGAACCGGACCGAGCTAGACACAACCGGACCGAACTAGACACAACCGGACCGAGCTAGACACAACCGGACCGAGCTAGACACAACCGGACCGAGCTAGACACAACCAGACGGAGCTAGACACAACCGGACCGAGCTAGAC